TTTTTTTTTTTTTTTTTTTGGGGGGGGGGGGGAAAGGAGGGATATCTTACAAAACTTCTCAATAAAACTTATTACAGTCGACAAATTACACGAGTATAACTTTTTCAAATGAAGTGGAAATGCCCCTATTAGCGATCGGCATCTAAAGTCATTGAGTGTTCACTTTCATTCTGCTTCAACCTGGCCCTTTATATCTAGCGCACATTATACATTACTCAAACCAACCAAATTCAATGTGATCCACCAAACCTGCAATACTGTGGGTTTCTATAAGTTCTTCTGTCACTATCGCACTCATAAATGTCCATTCTTGAGTATACTTTTTATTCCAAGCGTACCCCCATTTTCCATAATCAAAAGTTCTTGAGTCTAACTGACTTATCCTGCGATAATCCCCAATTTTTTAAAGCACTTCTCTTCAGCCTTTTAAAGATCTAATGCTACAGTAGCCTTCTATTATTATGCTTCACAATACTTCTTTGCCAACGATGCGTAATGTGAAAGACGACGGCCTCAATTTTATTACTTCAAGAAACTGCGATTGGTTTCCCCTCGGATGTTCCTCCCCCACTGCTTAGTTAAACCCTTCATAAAAATTATTTTTTGGCGAAATGAATCAAAAACGAAAAGCCCAACCAAAAAAATCCTTCATTCAGTGTTTTGAGCGTTACTTACCTAACACCTCTCCTCTTTACCTCCCCTTCCAAACCTCCTTGCTGCAGGTCAAATTTTTATTAGGTCAGTGGCCAAAACTACAACAGATGCCGATTTCCGTACTGGAACTGTATTATGATTCTACCATAACTTCACTTTAATAGAGACTAGCAGAACATCAGTAACTGTAAAACCTCAAACTTGTGTACGTCAAACCTAGTCAGGCCGAATCGTGGCTTCCTATAAGCCAAGTCTATGAAGCGTTCCAAGCAGCCCCTCATCTAATCAAACACTGGTTTGCTATCCCTGATATGAAGAATGAATTATTACCAGAGTAAGGAAGTTGGGTGAACAAAACAGTTAGGCGATCAATAGAACTCTTCTGTCACTAAATGAGCCCATGGCACAGGCAAATCAGTACTGTTACGCAAATCTTTCCTAAATAGCGATAACAATGACAACAGTGAGAGAAGAAAACTGCCCATCGTTCGCATCACTGTCCACTTCTTGACCTCATTTCCCTCGAATTCTCTACCACTTCACTGCTTATTTTAACCATTTTCACTTTTTCTGATTTCTTCTTCGCTATCTTATTCTTCTTTTGATCCCAAAGTTTCACAATTCTGAGTTTGCAATTCTCGCTCTGACTTACTTGCACTGAACTAATTCCTCTAATTTTTCTAAAAAATGGTTGTAAAATTTTTCTATTTTTGCACCATTCAATTTCTTAATGACTCGATAAGACCCTTCTTAAGGTCTCCGCACTATTCGCATTCAGCTGCGCCAATTAACAGTGTAAATTCATGAGTTTTCCCCACGAGATTACCGTATTACTTACTGTCAGTCATCCTATGAGAAAAATTTTAATTGTCTTTTACATTTGTAAGTAAAGTTTCAGCACCATGACCGTTCCGGACTTACGGAAGACAATGAATAAAATCAATTAGAAAAATATTCAAAATAGCTAACGAATGAAGCTCCTTAAGAAATTGCCGAGTCCCACGAGGATACTTAAGAAAAATAGTAGAAACCTCCCTATAACCTACCCCGCCTCCAGCTGCACCACAGTAGCGCACAAACAAATAGTTTCACAACTACTTTACGCAGTGTATTTTTGTCCAAGCAGTCACAAACGCCCAGAAAAAAATGTCGCCTAGCCGCATCGAACATACCACCATTATTTTAAACAGTTGTGAAACTTCAGGCACAAAAAAGAAAAAACCTTACTTTGTTAGCCCATATATTGTGAGAATGCTCTGCCATTTTCTCTGCGGCTGCCACCATTTCCTTTTCCAAAGTCATGCTTGAAAGGTCAATAGGTTTTGGACTAAAGTTCTCGACTAAAAATATTTTTCTGGTATTGCATTAATCACTGGCCGTCCATCAAAGAAATGACACAGAGTTGTAGTATCAAAATTTACTTGTAGTCCCAGAAGTAGTGTGGTTCTGGGCGGCTTTCTCTGCAGCATCTTGATCGGTCAGTTCAATAGAGTAATTCCAAGCTAGTAAAGCTCTAAGGCATTCACTGCATCTTTCTTTATAAAATGCCGTTTCCTAAAAACAGCTAACGAAAAAGAACTTATTAAGAAGACAAGTATAATACTTACGGTTTTGACAAATACAAGAGTAATAATGTAGAAGTAGCGGTATGCAAACACTTATAATGATTAGTATCCTACGTAGTCTTGGAGAAGGCTGAAAGGCTTCAAGCGCGGATGTGTTAACGCCTGTCGCGAGTATATATCGCCATGATGCCAACCTTTTTCTATCTGAAACTTTAGAATAACTAATTTTTGCCTTACTTTTAAAAGAAAAGTCCTAATCCAAAATGATAATAGAAAGCTTCAGGAGAACTCGATAAAGTCATGTAACTGATTTTCAAAGCTTGCACACATACCTTTCTAGCAGCCCAAGAATCATGAAAATGTTCAGCAAACTTCGTTGTCATGTCATCCAGATCACTAGAGAGGTCGAAACTTGTCACATCAATAGGTTTGGGAACCCATACACCTTTATCATTTCTGGCTTTGATCATCTCAGCATCTTCCCCTCCTACCGTGAGCGTGTAATCGGGAGAAATAGCCGATCCTAGAGCACTTTTCTCCTAACCTTCATCTAGTTCGCGCATTACTCGTTAGAATGGTGCTTACCAATAGCAGATAAACAAGGAAGAGCTTTGCCAAAGAGTTCTGGATCATACGGTTTACTACCTAACGAGTCAAAAATTGCATAAAACAACAGCATTGAAAGACGCTTTTCTGTTTCTCCTGCTACTCCATATACATTACCGCTACCGTAATATTTCGAACATCGTTCATAATGCAGAGTCATTAACTAAAATAGGCAAAGAATAAGATAGTGTCGAAATACAATTAAGATGGCTTTCATCACTTAAAAGAGTGGTTTGAGTTAAAAAGAAAAACTCTATTTCGTTTTTGGTTTTCCCTTGCGAAAAACATTACTGACACGTAACAGCTGTTTACCCGGAGAGGGACAAGAATATTTTCAGCCATTTCTTGAATGTCAATAATCACTTTCCTCATTAACTTGACCATCATTGACGGTGGTAGCTCTCGCGTTATAGCAACAAGGAAGTCAGAAACCGCGTCGCGTTGATTTTTAGTTAGAGATTGCAATCTATTCATACGATAAACCTGTAAGCAACCAGTAGCTGAAGAAGCTAGTTCCAGAAAAAAGCAGAAAAAGGTTTACCGTGTGTAACGTTGCATCAAGCAAAGCAGCATGGTGTTCAGAGTCAGCGAAGAAGTGAGAGTGGTTTGTTAGCAAGGGTAAGACTGCATTGCATAAGTAACGGTTGAGCGCCAAAGCAGTATCACTTTCTAGAGCGCGAGGCTAAAACAAAGACGGCATCAGGCAAGAGGTAACTAATTTTACCGAATTTCTGGTAATAAAATCCAATTACTGTAAAAAACTGCTCAGCTTGTGTAGCTCAGAATAAGTCTTTTTGGTTTTGTAATTTAATTAAAAAGTATTCACTTTTACAGGAAGCTCCTGCCAATATATGATGTAAACTTCCAGTGAGCATAACTTCAAAAAAATTTCACTTTATATGTTCAATATGACAAAAATTTCACTTTATATGTTGACGATATGGTGCAAGCCGTAAAATCTTCTGTTACAAAAATAGATAAAAAAATTAAAGATGAAAAGCAAATGTTTAGACGCCAAGGAAACAGTACTGATCCTCGACAAACCACCAAAATGTTTTTTAATAAAAAACTATATTAGAATGTTTAACGAAAGAAATTTTTCTTGGAGACAAGAGGTGAAGATGAAACGGATGAGGAGGTCCCTGAATAAAGAAAAAACTGTGTTCTCCTTTACAGTACTGCTAAGCTTCGTGTTTTCAAAACCGTAAAGAAGCTCGAGAGCAAAGACACGTGAATTTATCATACTCGCCCTATTCTTTGCACCAAAAGATGATTTTATTTCGAGCAATTTGAAACTACTCCTGTACTGTAAGTATTAATTAATCTAAGAGTTGTGCAGAAGGCCTATGTCAGTTTTTTATCATCTAGAACTGTAGAGTTATAAGTTGGTGGTAGCTCAAAACTTTAGTAAAATCATCACAATTCTGTTGTTCATAACAGCCCTCACTTAAACAAATAAAATTTAATTTTGAAAAAAGTAGCTTCGTCATTACGTTTACATTATAAATCAAGAAAGCACTGAAGTCAAGCTTCCAGATAACCTTGCTTTTAAATGCTGTAATGCGTTAGCCAATAAGAAGTCTATTATTTAAATATTAGAACAGAAAATGCGTAGACTTTTTTGCATAATGCAAAATATTGGTTTAGGAAGCTTTCTAACCAAACTTTTTCTCATTCTTTTCCCTTCTTATAAAAATGAGTAGAGGAACGAATGGATTTGCAGATGCTTCCATGCTATCCCTATTAAACGTCGTGAAAAGTGAATCCATTACTACTGACTCGCCTTTGAATTTAAGTTCAAGGCTCAGTATATTATTTTGCTGGTAAGTATGCCGACTTAAGGAATCACAGAACATGAAAACGATGAATTCGCAATTGAAGCGTAACCTGCTTAAAAGCGAAAAACGATTGAATAAAATAGCTGTATTCATTTGCTAACTTTTTCTTTAAGATAATCATTTTAAACTGTTCCAACTAACAATAATAATAGTCAGAACCAGTCTATTATGAATGTTACGAAGCAACAACTCAACGCAAACAAAAGGCTAAGAAAGTAGAGAAAAAATGATAAGTCTAAAAACGGTGAGAAGCAGAAAAATCACATTCCACCCGAAATAAACAAGCAATTAACCTGCTCAGTCTGCTTTATCAAATACTGAGTTCGCTAAAGATTGAAATGCAAATGCTCGATGAAAAATCTCAGAGTTGTAAGATTTAAGTCATGAGTAACCCTGCCAGAAATTAAATATTTTAATAAAAAAACTAATTTAGCAAGATTTTAAATAAAAAAAATAATTTAAAGGCTTACTGAGTCCATCATCGTGGCCGCTCGTAAGTCAGGCAGAAAACTCTGCTCGAGGAACTGGAAAAGCATTTCTTGTGAATCGATACCGTATACCCGATCAAGAAATAAAAGGACAGATTGTTTGTGACTGGGAAGAAGACCAGGTAGAGGGCCACTACCTGCAACAATTTGCTGCCCTTAGCTTGAAAAACTGGAACGAAAAGAACCTATAAAAAAACCCTATTTGCATCGGCAGACTCAAATAAACTGTTCAGGGTACAATGATTCCAGAAAATTTGAAAGTTTTTATGAACAACGAAAAAACAAAAAACAAAGTCTACAAGAGCCGTGAAAAATTAGAAAACAAGACCAAAATGGACCGGCCACAGTAAAAAAAAACAAAAGCGACTTACCCAGAGACGTCAAAGCTACACCGCAAAAAAAAAGAGAACAAAAGGGGAGCTGAATAAGTTATGCAGAAACAGCGACTTCATGCAAAAGCTACGAAATCAAGTAACGGTGAAATGCAATGTTACTGTCCCAAAAACTGTTGATTTTGACTTTAGAAAAAGCAAAGATGATTTCTTACCACCTTCTATTGCTTAAATAATCAGCAAAACTGATTCACATATCATCATTCTTAAAGGTGTTTCTATACTGTTAATTTTCACCAAATTGCTACAGCAAACATAGCACTATGCTTTAAAGATGTTAAATCGCAGAAAACAAAAAGCATTATTTCTACTTATTCCTGTGAAGCAGAAAGTTACTGTGTTTATCTGATTATTGAAGATTTTTTTCAAGATAAAGACGCATAAGCTCTGACCGCTAAGAGCGAAGAACTACAGAACTGTAGAATGAAGAATCTACCCACATTTGTTAAAACATCTCGGCTTCCTCATAGCTTAGCTACTAGCTGATGTTAAAGAAGCAGTTACCGCAGCGATTTGAGGTTTTCTAGGCCCATCCTTATCAAACGAAAAAAGGCTGTCAACAGATGCGTAGGTTGACGAAATGGAACTTGAAGAGTCATATACACTGATATCCGAACAACGGTCTCTAGTCAATTTCTGACTATACCGATGAACTTGCTTCTTGACTGTATTTCTAGCAAAGTTATTACTGAACGACTTTCTTGGATGTACACATGACGCTCTTCCTGCTTGCTGCTTCGTAACTACCGCTGCTTTTGATGCTGGATAGACCATAATGTTATTAATGAATCTTGCTTCAAACTCACAATTTGATTGAAAAAAAAATAAACAGTTAACGTCATGGTAGGTCAGGTTACTATCTTGAAAGCAATACATCAAGAACCAATCGACACTACATAACTTGCCTAAGAGCAAAAGACTTTAATACCACTTAACAAATCTAATTCTGTTAAGCAAACATATTGTGAAAAACTTTTAGAACAAGGACTTCGAACGACCACGACAACAACGAAGACAAAAGCAACAGATACGACAGCAGGTGAACTTTAAGCCAGGGTAGCTAAAGTAAGAAAAAAGAAATATTTTGAAGTTCTTTTCAAAAAAGTAATTAATGAACAAATACCGTCAGCAAGAGTAGAAGCCGCTAAATTTGGTATGGTGAATCTAAGAGCCAGAATTTGGCCCAAGTCATCGAGCGATATTAAAGAGCGCAATATCGCTCGAGCACGCACACTGTCTCCTTTCCCCTCCTGAAATTATAACTGTATCTGTAAGTCAACTAATTTACTACAATTGGTTCCTGAGAAAAGAGAGAAACCAATTGACAAAGCAATAAGTATGTCTTCCATATTCCTGCCATTCTCGTTCCTCAACCACTTCCCCCTCGCCCGCAAAAGCATGTCCCATAGTAAGTAGGGAAAAGAGACGGGTAAAATAGTTGAAAAAAGAGTCAGAGACCATTATAGAAACCATGGTTATGACCACTAATCGCAAAATTATAAAAATGCTGAGATGAAGACAGCTACGACATGTTCTTTCACGAAATACTCAATAAAAAACCTCTATTTCTACCTGCTTTTATCTAGCGGTTCAGGATGTCACTGTAATCGAAGGTATGCCATATCATTTACCCTGCTAGCTTTTTTTCACTCTATTACAACCGATTTTTCAAGTTCATGCTTAAACCGTTTTACGGTTATTCAAACATCATATTTATCTCCTTGCTACATCGTCCTTCACTTAAGTTACCGGTTATAAAAAGGAAGGAATAAAAAGCTGCTATTTTCCCTGCTCGGCTCCATTGGGCTTCCAGAATTGTTCTAATTTTTTTCGACTTAAGTTAATGTGACTTACGAGAGGTTGGCCGAACTGTGCTCCGTAATTAATACTTAGCACTGACATTAGTTGTCGGCAAAAGAACAGGTAACTTTTATAAAATAATTCTCAAAACAGCGGCGAATACGAAGCCCACCAAACGTAACGCAACCAAAAAATACGAGTCCGTTCTCGCCACTCCCACAAAACTTGGAACAGTATATACTATTTTGCGTTTTAAGGCTCCTGCCACACTCCTTATTAAAGCACTTGTATGATTTCTTCTATATGAGAAGAAAAGGTTCTGTGACCTTAAAAATGTAACTCTCCTCCATGCTTCTACTCTTCCTGCTACTTCTCATCCTCATCACAGCAAGCAGTCCCCAATATGAATTAGGCGTCAAATTTTTTAACAAGAAAGAATGGGAGTGGAGAATTTTGCTATCACAAGAAGCCTGACAGTACTTTCCTTAGGGTAATTTGTCCCACAACTTTAAAACAGCTGCAGAAATAATACCTGGATAGTAACTGGGTCTGGGGCGCACTTCGCTAAGAGGTCCACGAGAGACGAATAAAAATCCAAAATTGCGGCACCCAAATCAATGTAATCCTCTTTTTCAACTTCTTTACTTGGATAGTGACTTTAAAGAGTCAAATTAATCAAAAAAGGTTCAAAGTTTATACGGAGTTGCAGTTAAAGGCTAGTATTAAAAATAAGTTAGAACAAGAAACTTACGCATTTTCACCCAACAGACCGCTGCTTAATGCTGCAGGATGCACTCCTTCTTCGAGTGCACGAATGTCTTCCGATAGCGCAATTGCCTCCTACAAAGGTTTTGTTAAAAACTGTAACGAATGAGATAATTGTGATACGTGAAATAAAGCTAGTTCTACAGACGCCCGATTAATATAAATTAAGGAAAAACGGTGAGAAATGAAAATACTAGTTCACCTTGAACGCTGCAAACAAGCCCTGACCTTCTCCTTTTAGTGCGACTCCAAGACATTCTGGCCTACGAATTAAAAGCCTTATAACAAGATTTGCATTTTCCTCTACATTCTCTCCGTTAATCCAAACGCAAAACCGCAAAAAATCGATGTATCGTTCCCCCTCTACAGGATCCCAGCCTAAGTCAGGATATCCCTTTGCTAATAAGTCAGTGTTTGGCTGAAACTATGAAAAATGGGCAAGTGGACAAATAAGTATTGCGCAGCATGCTTTCATTAAAACCGTTTCCAGTATAATGATATGGGTGACGTAAACTACCTGAAGTCCGCATCGGCTTAAATATACGGTAACTTTATCCAATTCCTCTTCTTTCAGTGCCAACGCAAGCTCGTTATTATCCATAAAGCTTGAGTACGCAACGTCCAAGGGAACAGAGCCTGAAACAGTAGGAATCTACTTATGAACCATTCCACGCCAAATCGCACACTTTTTACACTCGACCTCTAAGATTTTATTCATTTTTTGCTGATTACTGGAGTCTAAGCCAGCATAAAGAAAGCCGGGAGAGAAACCTGGAAAAGTGAATTCTCTGCCAGGTTACACCCCCTCCCCCCTAAAGTTGTAAAATTTGCCAGATTGCTGCCTGATATGTCTATCTTTGGAGCCTTGTAATGTGGCCTATTCCTGACGAAATTTAGCAATTTCTGTCCGGCATATTTTTCATGATATGAATTTTTAAAAAAATGTCGAATAATTTAATTCCGAATACAATAAAACTTGTGTAGAATTTTTTTCTATACAACATATCAAAATTTTGAGATGGCATTTTTTTTGATACCGAGAGTTACGAGCCATGAAGGAATGTGAAACCGAAAAAAACCGACTATTTCTATAGTAATCCCATGTATTTTCCAATGGCGAAATCATCCGAAGTCGCTTCTGAAAGTCACAGACAGCCGCTATAAAAATCCGGTTTGCTTTAAACGTTAAAAATTTTCTACCAAAGTTGTACTTTACTTCAATAATATTAACAAATTATTTTCCTGCAGAGTTATAAGAAGTATTCTTCACTCC